TCTTCTCATGTAGAAGTTTTTGAATAACTGGGAAACTAGTCAAGAGGTTTATTTTAATCCCTCTCCAATTAATATCTTTAATATATATCATGTGAATATTCAAAATGCATGATTGTTTTACTGCGATGGCGATATTGATATTCTTTATAAAGACATGCGCTCTAATATTTTCAAAGGATATCACAGAAACGCCGATTTTTTTTTATGCATTCCTTTTATGCTAATTTATCAATTTGTAAACGTGTGCATGGTAAGTCATAATAATTTGCTTTTGTTCTGTATTCCAATATTTTTACAAAAAAACCCTCTCTTTATGATTTTTTTTTTAATTCAAGAATGAATATCCATAATACAAAATAGATTTTTAACTTATGTCTATTGGGTTAATGACAATAATTTAGGTTATTGATCGTACTAGATACATGTTTATATCATTGAAGTTTTTTTTCTTCAATTTTTAAATATTTTTATTTTTCAATAACATACAACATATTTTTGAGGCAACACTTACGCAGAAGCCCTCCGTAGATACCTCACATGGGGTGCCAGGAGCTCCCTGGATTGGTAATTTATTTCAATTATAAATAATTGAATATTTCCATACCATAATATACTTGAAAACAAAAAAAAAATAGATAAATAAAGCATCGTTAACATTTCAATTGTGAATAATGCAAATATTACAGACATATATCTTTTTACAATTCACATTTTAGGAGGACATAGATCATACTGAAATTTGAAAAAAAAAAATATTAAATACATAGAAAATTATTCGTCAATTATAAATACATGCAGTAAAAATAACTATAATGATGATTTTATAAATACATAGAATTGGAGAAACACTCACATTCAACCGGAGGTAAAATAACATCTAAAGATTCCATCCACATTACCTCCAGGTTGATTTTAAAACAGGATGACTGACCCACCCTGCAGAGAGTGTTCATTTAAAACAAAAAAAAAAAAAAATCAACAATTTATATTCTCACAGACAAATTTTGAAAGTAAATTCCATCATTAGTATTTTTCTTCATTGTAGTTATCGTTAAGCATATAATCGCCACAGGCAACACCAATATTTTTATATACTTGTAAAGGTGCAATCTAAAAAAAATTTAACAAATACGGGAAATAATGTCAGATTCATGCCTGTTGGAATTTGCATGTGCACTGTTATACCCCATTCTTAGCAGACCTGTTTTTGTATGTTTATACGAGGGTTTATCAAAAAGTTTGTGGACAACGCCATAAAATTAAAACCGCTTTAGGTAAATCAATGAATTCTAACACATTTAGTTAGCATCAACTTTTCTATCTAAAGAATAAATCATAAGTTTTATTTTTTAATAATTTGTTAATGTTTTGTAAACAATGGTATATCCAGGCGGCGCAACCTCAAATATGACGTGTTTTCTTCTTGAGTTTAACTGAGATAAAAAATTCTTTTGATATGATCATCTGTCATAAAAAATCAGGTTAATTCAGGCATGTGGTACGACACAATTGTTCCGTAAATTTTGCAATTTTTATCCCATTCTGTAAGTTCTTTGAAATTTTATCGTAAACTTTATATGGGGTGTCCAAACAATTAAGGGCTTGAAAATGACGTCAAAGGGGGGGGGGGGAGGTTTCTTTTTCCAACATTCTATGAAGTTTCAGTTTCAGTTAAAGGAAAAACTGTTATAGACTTAAAGTATGTTTAAAAGGGCTACAGAAAAATAAAATGAATCGAGAGTATTTGTTTTTAAATGCCCAAAAAGATTCAGAGAAATGAAAGATGCACAATTAATGTAGATTTGTAGTCAGGGTGTCAAAAGTTAGTCACGTCGAAAAGTGACGTACGTTGATCATGTGTGGTAGAAATTGAACTCCAACAAGCTAAATATTCTGGCATAATCAAGTGAGGATCTTTCCCTATGTATAGATCCATTTACAATATTATATGCATTGAAAGCAGCTGTTCATGATATTGTAAAGTCATATAAACAAGACTGGCTTAAGGTCCTTACTTAACTCCAGGTTATCTCATCAAGATAAGTGTATGAGGTAGAGAGAGCGGACATTGAGAAACAATGACGTTGTCGGACGTCATGAAACTAAACGGCGACGGCCATTCATACTACATAGTATTAATTTTATCGCATCAGTCCACGAACGTTTTGATAAGCCCTCGTATATGAAGCATGATTTATTTAAAATGTTTACATGAAAAGCAGAATTATCTTGCTGTGGCCTTCAATTCAACATTTAGATATATCGATGACGCTTTACCCATTAATAAAACATATACATTGATTCGATATATCCAATTGAGCTCGAAATAAAAGATATATACCAAGGAGTATTGCACATCCCCTTGATATATGAATATTTTACTTGAAAAGGACAGTACAGGAAAATATTTTTTGGACATTGAGAAAATTAAAGCGTGTAAAGGTGTAAGTATTGAGCTTATCTATCACATTTTCAAAATAGAGTGCCTTGCATCCCCCCCCCTTCGGAAAAATGTCCAAAGAAGACGAAGTACTGATGAACATAAATCACTGTTGTTTACTTAAGTGGGCAAAATAACTGCTAATGAAGTATTCTACCTGTTCTTCTTGACCTATTAAATTGTTATGAATGCTTGATTTAATCACAAATTAAGTAATAAACTGTACATTTCAATTTATTTTATTCTTGATCAAAGGGCAGATCACTCTATCTGCATAAAAATACCACAAAATCAGAACTCTCTAGTGTGCAGTGTATAGAGGGCTCTTAAGAACTTAAAGTCAACAGTTTCGAACAATGATCGATACAGTGACCTTGTTTACAAATTTGATACAATCTTTCATTTTGTCGAACGCCGATTAAGATCTTTCATAAAATTTGTTCGGTCATTATTTTCATACTAAATTGACTATTTCTCCGTGTAATTAACCGATCATGAAAAAGAGTACTCGGCGGGTGTGACCGGTCGACATGGGATGCTTACTCATTCATGGCACCTAATCCCGCTTCTGATATTGATTTTTTAGAAGTCATGTTGCTCTGGTTCACAATTTGTATTGTTTTGTTGGACTTTTCAGTAGATTACTTTTCGCTTTCTTCACATTTCTTGGAAAAGTTGAAGTCATCTGGTTTATTTAGTTGTAAGTTGGCCATTATCGTCTATAGTCAGTAATACATCCAAATATGAAACAGGTGTGGCAGACTCAGCGGGTCAGACTTTATGGGTCTTTTATTTCGAGTTCAGTGGGATATATCCGGCCGACAAAGGAACGAGAATAACTCGTTAAGAAGACCACAGAATTTACAAATTGTTGACTTCAAATGAGGTTGTTGATATCCCTGTAACGTCAAATTCTTTGCGAGAAGCCTGCCTGGGTTTAAAAATTGGTAGTACTCAAAGCATGATCTTAAGTAACGAATAAGTTGGGAGACATAAACACCATATTCAGGAATATAACCACTTAAATAAGGAAAGTTGACGATGGAAAAGCTGGTCATCTCGTTTGTCATACAGTTTATTTGTTAACTGGCCTTTATCGTCCATAGTCAGTGAATATTTAAATATGAAACAGAGGTGAAAACTCTGTAGTATCTTCTCTTTCTTTTATTTAGAAAGTGAACTGTAAGTACAAGTTGGGTCTCCAGATGTAGAATTAAAACTATTATCATCTAGCAATTCGCTAACTACATCTCCTTGAGATGTGTAGATAAATCAAAGCTATATGCATTGATATGAATTCTGATGTTTTAGAAATGAAATATAAAGAGAACGAACAGTAATCAAGCTCACACCTGCCGTGTGCTCCTTGTCATGATCGGATACTCGGGAAAATCCATAGATAATTCAGTGTGATAATAATGACCTAGCAATTCGTATGAAAGACGTAAGTAAGCATTCGACCTAACGATAGATTGTATTTGCTACCACGGTCATTGTATCGACCATAGGATTTGCAAAATGTTGATTTTATCGAGACTGTTGATATTCTTGTATCATCAACTTGTTTGTCTAGTTTATTTCTCAATCAATTGGTCAGATTATGCATGTAGGTACTAGAAAAATACAGGTAAATACTGCTTAATCTAGTTATTGCTGTATAATTTTGTTGTATATACAGCTGTATAATCAATGCATATAAAAATTATCTATCAAAATTTGTCCCAATTTTGGAAAAAAATAAACCAACGCAAAACTTTCCTAGACACCGGTATAGAGTTAGCTGTATATCATAATAGACAGACACATACAGTGGGCGAGGGGGGATAAAGGGGTTTTCTAGATGGTCATTCTAGTAGTTCATCTTTAATAACATTTGTTATAAATGACCATGAGATAAGATATACCGTGTACTGAACAACAATTAACTTACAAGTATGTTTGCGATGCTATATGTTTGCTGATTTCAGTTCCATCTTATCATTATTCAGGAAGAAAATAAAATTCTGAAACTGTCAGATCAATTTGTTAGTAAATACATGTACATATAAACCATGTATATTAATTTCCAGATCGAACACGGTGAAACGCTGTAGTTAGGGTCAGTATTCAACAGGGTCAATTTTCAACGCGTTGATGTCAGAAGTGCCGAGAAAAAAAATATCAAGTCGTTGAAAAATGAACCTGGGTATAAATTTCACGACTTTTGGTCTTAATTTTCAACTTGAAAAGCCTTTAATCTTAATTTCTCAAAACGTTCAACGATGATCCAGTCAATAATATGTGAAATTTTTATGCAAGTAAAGCAATCACAATATGTGTAATTATATATACATATAAGATATATCATGATATTTAGGCAATTAAAATAGTATTATATACTCTAGTAAAGCAGGCATTTTTCTCAAGTAAAAAATTATCCAAGTTGCATATATATATGGATCACAAGAGTGAGTGCTAACTACAATGTTTTTGAATGATCAATGCTTCTCTACTGCATGAAACCTATAATTCTCTTCCCTAGGACACTCAATGATTCCTGTTTATTATTGTGTATTTTCAGAATCTGTCTAGAAGATGATTCTAATTGTAGTGTTATGCCTCCAGTTTTATGGTTGCTGTGGGGAGTTATCAAGGTAACATAATCACGCAATATATCCTGTTTAATGTCATGAAAAAATATTTGATCTTAACACATGAGATAGGGTTGCTGCCATTAGAAATATTTCATCATATCAATCAGATGAAATAGTGTGTTGTGTTTTGCTACTTCAGACATGAAGTTTTACACAATCTGCTAGATAGATCGGGCTATGATCCTCTAATTGCTCCAAACTATGAAGATGGTAAGGTATTGACCTTTCAAAATTTATTCTTTAGTCATAAATACCTGATTAAGAGCTTACTGGACAACGATACAGAAAAAGTATTTGCACATTTTGATACCTAATATAAACTCCTTTTACCCAGTATTTTTGAGGTGGACAATAACCGTTTATGTCTTTTGTTCTTTGTATAACGATAAAAAGCATACTGAGGTGTTAAATAACACAAAAGTTAATATCTTAAAAAAAAGAGAGAGAAAAAAACCCAACGCTCTCAATGTCATTGCATGCTTTTAGCAAAATAACTTCATCGTAACGAAACCACACGATTAAAAGATCAATATCAACATGAAATCCCACTGCAATCGTCTTAAAAGCTGCTGTTAAGGTCTATAGCATGGTTTTCGAAAGATAAAAAACATTAATGGATTCCTGGACAGTAAAGCTTAAGTGTTTTCTATACACTCTGTGTGGTTAAAATCGAAAGACACCTATTTGTTTTCTGTATCTCGTCCAGATAATAATAAATTAATTTAAATTTTGTAATAATGAAATATATAATAATAAAAATTAGGAATAAAACAAAATAATATTTTAATGTTCATTTCTGAGTTTATGATATAGAAAATATTAAAGTTCGTTTCCTAAAATGTTGTAGATTTCCCGACAAATATATCTGTCCAACTTATTATCAAGAATATACACAGTCTTGATGAACTCCGTATGGTGAGTGGGCTTGGCCATCACTTTACAATCCTTTTATTTTTATGAATTCAAAATCGGTATTTCAAGTATTTGTCAACGTTCTCTGCATTTCTTCACAGGATTTCTCAGTAGATATTATATTCAGGCAGAGATGGACAGACAAGCGTCTGGTTTTCAATAATACCAACATCAATTCTTTGGAGCTTTCACAAAAGATGATTGAGAAAATTTGGGTCCCAGATTCTTTCTTTCCGAAAGAAAAAAGCGCAACAATTCACCAAGTTACGGTTCCAAACCAACTCCTACATATTTACAAGAATGGAACCGTATTCTACAGTATGAGGCAAGAATTTCTCAGTATAAATTACTACCTGTTGGTGATTTGTTTGGAAAAAAATAACATTCCTGGGATAAGTCCTCAAAATAGTGTATTACGTATAGAAATTTAAATACAAGTTCTAATTTGACATTGTAAACTTTTCAAGACGGAAAAATAATAATTACATTTATAAATATGGAAGGGTGTAGAAAATATCACATGTTCTTTTGAGTGTTAATATAAATGCAAACATTTCTTAGGAATTTAGCCAATTAGTTTGATGGTGCACTGACTGGAATTTAGTCAAATTATAAGCTCATCTTTCATCTACTTTAAGTACAATATTACTTTCCTCATAGAATAGAGATGACACTATCCTGTGCAATGGCCTTGCAAAATTATCCTCTGGACAGACAAGTGTGTCCGATTACCATCGAAAGTTGTAAGTATTTCAAAATTTATAATTGGTTGAGATGTGTAAAGTGAGACAATGTACATAACCGATTTCCTCAAAAAAGAAGGAGTGGGGTGGGTTGCCGTTTCGACTATGGACTTAAACATTTAGGTTCATCATGTCGCCTACAATTTTTTTTCAGATAGTTACACGAAGGAAAACATAGACTACCACTGGGTCAGCTACAGACCTGTTCAAATTCCTCCTGTCTCACTTCCACAGTTCAACATGCCTGATACGATCAAAACAACAGTATGTCAGACGGAATACGGAGAAGGTATATATGTGTTGTTTGAATACTTGATTAAAAAAAAAACATATTTGAACATATTTTATTCACAATGAATCTATCCCCCATCTTTTTTTCTCTCTCTTTCCTTCTGTCTCAAAGCTTGCAAATATAGAAAAAATTCTGAATCTGATTACACAACAGTAGAATCCTTGTAAACATGTCTTTCCGATATGGATGTAGTATTCATGTATTCAAAAGTTTTGACAACTATTGAAAAATATTGACACAATACCTTTTCTAGATATTGAGAAGACCCTTTTCTTTCCTTATATCACACGTAGACAGGGCACCTGCATACAAGTTTGAAAACACGGGTAGACTATCAGTTGGCATTAAAAAGCATTTAAAATAGTAAGGGGTAATAGGAGTACCTGTATAACTGGGATTTACCCAAGTACAAATTTCACGAAATTGAAATAAAATAGCAATGTTTTTAATTGGACGAATTCAATTTTTTGTGTTTTCAAAATTTCGATTAAAAAAATTGAATACATAAATAATTGAATACGATATTAATGTGTTTACTTTTGCAGTTGGGGACTTTGGCTGTCTACTTGTTGAGCTTAAGTTTGAGCGCAATACTGGGTACTACATAGCCCAAATATTCATTCCAAGTATACTGATAGTAACGCTGTCATGGGTGTCTTTCTGGGTTGATATGGACGCTATTCCGGCACGTGTGTCACTTGGTGTTCTCACCGTTCTCACCATGACAACACAAAGTTCCGGTGCACGAAGTGCGCTACCGCGAGTGTCTTACATCAAAGCCATCGATGTTTGGATGTCAGTTTGCCTTACATTTGTGTTTATGGCTCTCCTGGAATTTGCATACATAAATGTCGTTTCAAGACGGAAGTCAAGGCCAATTCGTACCTCTTCACAGTGTGAAATTGCCCTAAAGAGAGGCGTAAGTATTCAAAGGCACATGACCTTCTTGCAACCGCAAAACCTCTCGCCAGAGAGTGTGCTATATAAACTTCATTTGCACTTCTGTTATCATTTCCAAAGTAGTCCCTGTATCACATATGGTAGGCGTAGTGATTTATTCTTTCTAAACATCAAAAACCAAGCTTAAGGACATACGCAACGTACCTTACCTACTGATAATTTTTCAAGATATTCTTAATTTAAGATTATAATGCCATCAGATGTTCATAGACAAAAAATCAGCATGCATTACCAGGGGTTTTGAAAAGATATCAATTGATGAAAATTCTTGTATAATTTAAAGAAAAATATACAAAAATTACCAAACATATATTCTAGATGTTTTGTTTATCAAAACTTGTTTTAGAAGAAGTGTACAACAGTATATATAGACATTAAAATGTAGCACACAGTTCCTTTAAGTATTGGAACTCTTCAACTCCAGGGAAAAAGACAATAAAGTTCAAACTATGTTGCGTATGTCCTTAATACATTGAAATTTCATAAGTGTGAGAATTTTTTTTGGAATATTTTGTTGCTAAAAAATTGTACTTAATCATACATTTTAAGAGACATATATCAAAGAAATTAGCCAATGGATGTGTTTGTGGCGGGTATTTCAAATGGTATCATGTATTTTGGGACACCCTTTAACAACCTAAATCAAAATAATAAATTATAGAATATTGGAGATATTTTCAATGCATAAAACATTTTTGAATATATTTTCCTACAGACGACACCGTCACCAATGATGCCAATTCTGAAACACATCGATTTTAAGAAGAGAGCACGACATGTGGATAAAATCTCCAGGGTTTTATTTCCGCTGACTTTCATCCTGTTCAATATTGGTTTCTGGGTATTCTACTTAATAATTAACACAGATAATACATTTTAGTTTTGAAAAAAGTTCATTTGTTATTCCTATAGAATGTGGAGTTCAAAGCACTCTCACCTCTGTTCAAAACAGTGGACAATTTTCAAAATGGGTGTAAAACACAATTTGTTCTTTCGTTCCTTTTCACACAATTTTGTGATCGAGTGCCAGAAATATTTAAGGTACCAGAAAACACCACCCAAATTAGAAACAAACAAAAAAAAGAAGAGTTATGGTCCCCCGCTTGAAAGCGGTGTCTTATAGGTTGGGATGCTTTTATTTATGACATATTGTAACTCTCTTGTCTATGTTCCCTGTCTTATATATCAATCATCTACATAAGATTTAAAGTTTTTAATTAATAAAAAGTTACGGCCAAGATTAGAGTTTCTGAAAACTTGCATTAATCTTCAGGGTCAAAATCAAGAGATTACATAACATACCGGTAATGCATTCCGAAAGGTCTTGTCACAGGTAATACACACGTGGAAATAAAAATTGTCACACGTTATCAACATGTAAAATATGAACGTTTCTTCTCAAAAGGTCTCTTCTTCAAATGGTATCACCAATGTTAACATTATTGAAAGGCAGGTGAAATTTTAAGGTCAGGTCACGAGGTCAAAAATCATAGTCGAAAAGATTAAATTTGAAAGCTCTGTTTCTCATTCAAAAGTTATGACCAAGGTTATTTTTGTGATAGACTGACATACGAATAAGATTTAATGTCCCCTTGCTTTCGTCACAATAAGGAATTTTTTTTTAGATAACACTTTGTAAAAAAAAATTATGTATTAACGTAAATGCTCAACTTTTCCTTTTTTTCTTTATAAAAATCAGATAATTTTCTGATAATTGTTTCGATTTGGAATTATTTTGATGGACATGCTTGAGCAATTTCAAATACATGTAATTTAATGTATATTAAGCTTAAAAAGTTGTTAATGGCAGATGATACAAACGAAAAAGAGATGTCTGGATTGGTATATATTTTTTGACCTTTTTTGGTTGTATATAATTAGAATAATAAATTCAAAAAATGTTTAAAAATTGTAAACTCTCTACGGTGTTCAAATTCCACCTTTTTGCATCCCATAATTTTTAAATCCCATGACTGTGAATGAAAAATTAAAATCTGGGTGGTTAAACTTAATCATTTTACTTAATAAAACATGAATTAAGTTGTTATTTTCAAGATTTTTGATTTAAAGTTTGTTTGTATCATCTGTCCTTAAATATTCATTTGCAATTCTTTTTCAATCCCGGTTCGCAAGTACGATACAATTGTATATTGAGATCTGATTGTACTAATAATTTTTCTGTTTTTGTTTTTACTTTAATACATTTTCAGGTTTTAAATAAAGTAATATAATTTAAAACGAGAGAGGTGTCGTCATGTTTAATATTCTTATACTTGTCAAATTACAAGGTATAGTTTCAATTTATCTGTTTAAAATAAAATTCAAATGACCTCTAGATCTGGCGAAGAAGTGGTCTACGTCTTTTATAGTGGTTATAAAACTACAATCTTGCAGTGTTAAATTGAAGACGACTACATTAACATAGCTCAGCTCGTTCACGGCATTGAGAGTTCACGACACTTGCTACGCTTACTTACTTAATCCTCTTCATGAAGACCCAAGCACAACCCCCTGAATCCAGAGGGGCGGTGATTATTCTGTTGGGGTTTTCCTCCCATTAGCCACAGGTTTCATTCATTCAAAGTTGCTGAAGACTTGCCTTTCGCCACTGTCACATAGCTACCGAAGCATCAACAAGGCCACTAGAACGAGTTCGAGGAGGTGTGACTTGCTAGCAGAACGTATCTAACAGGATAGGCATTAATTCGTGGTTTTTGTGGCGTGACTTAGGGGCATATGTATCACCCCTCGTATTACCAGAAAAAACATGTTTATTTAGTTTCGTTTGATAAATAATGTTAATTTTTTTGTAGAAAAAAAGACAGTAGGCAATGATACAAAATTCTTGTTTTTCATGTAGGGCAGAACTATAATTGAAAAAAAAAATAATGAAAAAAATCATAATGATATAAATTTGATAGTTTTATTTGTGGGGGAGGGGGATGGCAAAAAATTTGAAGTGGGTTTATGTTATATCATTTCGTGACAGCATTGGTTTGAGTTGGGAAGTTACCCTCGGTACTATAAATCCAGCTGATTATGTTACTATATAACTTTTAACTTAACTTTTCATATATAATCCAAACATAGTTAAGCAGAATTGGATCAATCTTAATATGCTAAGACCATATACCAACTTTGACAGAAAAGTAATCTTACTCGACAAATGAAGAAAGATGGCTGCACTGTACACATTCCATCACAAAGAGGCGGAAAACTGAAAACTTTGTTGAAGATTATTTCTGTGCAATAAATCTAATCGCTATGCATGTTTAATTATTTACATAAGAATGAAAAGATTTCTGAACATGAAATCATCAAATATCAATGACAGAAATAGAAGGTCTCCATAGGGTTATATTTAATGCAAGTTTATAATAATTTCCTTTGTCCATATGATAGTTTAAAAGGGAATAAAAGATATGGTTTTTGATAACATGAACAGTTGATTATTAAACAAAATTTGTTTTCCCCTTGTGTTTAAGTATGGCAACTGTTTCGTGCATCATTTAAGTTTTTCATTAACAGTATTTAACCAACTCTATTTCAAGTAAATTGCCGACAAAATTTTCCAGTACTTAATTTGAAATGTATATTGCAATAATAACCAATCCAAAGTGCAATTTGATGAACGTATTTTGTTATATTTTGCTATGGCGTAGCAGTCAATATAAGCTCCGTCGATTCACCGTCTTATGGTTGCAGACAGAAATCATCGGTCGAAATAACAAAAGATTATATATACTCTTTGGAGCAACACGTGACAGGTATTACATGTACGAGGGTCGTTAAATAAATACTGCAATAGGTCATCTAAAAGTAAGAAAAGTACGTAATACATATTCTAAACATTTTCAATCCCTGAAGGCATTCCCTGTTATCCTTTACACATGTCTTAAGTCTTTGTACCCATGACCAGAAAACCTCAGCATACCCATCTTTTAGGATGCCCCAGAGACACTGATGAATATCACTTTCCATGACATATCTAATATTGTAAATCTTCCTTCGATTGTTTTCATGCATTTTTGGAATAAAATATCTCACAATGGCTGAGATCTAGCGAATATGGGGGATGGCAAAGCTCTGTAAACTTTCTTTTTTTCAGAATTTCATTTTTTTTCTAAGTGCTTATTTGCAGCAGCGTTGCCAGGTGCAAAAAAATTACTCTGGGGCAGTATTTGGACTTCCTTTGCAAGAAATCAGCTGTTTATCTTTCCTCAGTGCAATCTGAACATAAAAGTTATCATTGATGGTCCTTCCTTTGGGTGTATGTACATGTTTTACTGGACCTCTTGAAAAAAAAAATGAAAACTAATAAAACATGCTTGGAGCCCTTGTTTCTCTTTACAATAATAAGAACGATAGGTTTTTCTTTGATTCCACATTTTATTATCGATCTTCCTTTTCGCTATAAAAAGTGCACTCATGTTTAATCATCCATCACGCAAATTTAACAAATTTTATATTTTGTCAAAATATTTGTAATAGATCTTTGGCATTTTTAATGCTATTTTTCTCTTAGGTAATTTTAAGAAAATAAGGCATCTTTCTGATAGAAATATTATTATATTCATTTCCTTTGTCAGAATTCTATAAAATGTTATGACGATGAAATGCTTAGTATTCTAGCAATGTCTTTTGATGTAAATCTGACACTTTTAGATACCGGTATCATGTTGCACATACATGTAGCATCGATAACGTTCGGTGTCCCTTCTTTCAATCGACCAGTTTGACTTTTATATTTTAACTCTCCTTTTTAACTTTTGAATTTCTTAATCAATCTGAAAACTATACAGCGTTAAAGACTACTCTTTCGACATATAAAAATCATATCTTTAATATGAGTTCTTCGTCGATTTATGTAAAGAAGCACAGTTTTCACATACGCTTTCATTTTCATCTTCTTGGCAGAGATCATTTTAAACAGTTTTCAGCTCAGTGTAGTGACCATGCATTTCTTTGCGAGGACAATGGGAAAAATCATGGGCTTTTCTGTGATTAGGAGCTCTTTAATTGAACGTTTCAACTGTGAAAAAATAAAATTAAATAGATCTATATTTACTATGATATACTGTTTGTTGCATTATTTATTGAACGACCCTCGTAACCACAGATAACTTACAAGTTTACCGTACAATATCGTTATGATGTGGTTCTAAACAGTATGTTACTCGACTACTCATCGACGGTAACATTCCTCTCTTTGATAATATTACTTTTCAGATCTTGAACACTTTCCAGTTTAGGTATGTTTACTTTGCTTTTAAGTAAAACAAGAGCAATGTTTGTATAATTACAAAGATTTTTATCACTATTGCTTTAGGATGAAATATATGGAGATAACGAACAGTATTCAAGCTCAAAAGTCCATTATACAATACAAAATAGGAGCAGAGCAAACACGGACCTCCAAACATCAGAGGTGGGATCAGGTGCCATGGAGGAGTGAGCATCCCCTGCCGACCGGTCACACCCGCCGTGTGCTCCTTGTCATGATCGGGAAATAACGGAAAAATCCGTCGACAATTCAGTGTGTAAATAATGGCCTAACAATTAGTATGAAAAACGTCAGTCAGCATGTGACTCAATGATAAATTGTATTTGCTGACAAGGTCATTGTATCGACCATAGAACTTATGAAATGATCACTTTAAACGAGACAGCTGATATTCTTGTTTCATCAACTTGTTTGTCAATAATTTACCTCGTTTTAGAAATTGTACATACGTAGAGCATGCTCTTGCGTAGCGAATCAACTGAGAGATATATACCCCGTATGCAGGTGATGAAGGTATATTGCTGCATAAGTAAGAGAAGTTGACGATTGAAAAGTTAAAGTCATCACGTTTATCATAAAGCTTGGTTGTTAGATTACCATTAACGTCTTTTGCAAGTAAAATATCCAAATATGAAACAGATGTGTCAGACTCTGTGGTATCTTTTATCTCAAGTTCACCAGGATATATCGTATCGACATAAGAATGAA